CAGAGTGGCCTAGCCACGCTGAGGGGGTGTGCGGCTGCACTGACGAGCGTCCACGGTGGAAAGCGGCGGCGTGAGCGACTCCGACGATGAGAGGCGGCGCAAGCGTGCTCGGAAAGCGCACAAGGGCGAGGCGAAATCAAGGGCGCGAGCAATCGGACGATGGGCGCACGGTGGAGGCGAATTTGGCCGGTGAACTGAAGCTCGGCGGCGGTGGCAGGAAGAAGAAAAAGGAGAACACGGTGACTGGCTCACGCTTTTATAGGCGAGGACGACGTCACCAGCTTCGCTAGCGCCTTCGCGAGCTCGACACGTAGGCGTCCGCGCGGGAAACGCCGTGAAGACGCGGCCAAATCATGCACGGCGGTGACGCGGCAGCAGGCAGCTCGTCGAGGTTCCTGTGGCAGCATGACAACCCTTCTTCTTCCTTCATTTTCTTCCAATTTCATGTGGCAACTCGCTGAGCTCAAAAACATAAGTTGTTCACCTTAATCTGTTCTCCATCTTTGCTTTAAACGCCATCTCCTAATTCTCATTGGTTAGAGAGATCAAGAGAGAGAAATAGAGGTAGATTGAAACTGGACTCAGAACATTCAGTTAGGGTTTCAAAAAGAGTTTTGGGTTAGCAACTTTGAGCAATTAATTAGGGGTCAAGCACTGACCTAACATCACATCTAATTACACATTAACATAGCTCGAGCATTACACCAATCAATTGAGCAAAGGTTGGCTAAATTTTATTTATGAAAATTCATCTAATACATCTCCCAAAATTGAACTTAACAATGATTTCCATGACTTAGCCACAAAATGCTAAGGGAGGGAAAAACAACATTAAATTAAATCTTTGGAGTCCAATTTCAACATATTTAACTTAGAAACACCATCATATTTTGATTCTACATGAAAACACTCACTTTGTACTAAAAAGTTTATTTTAGCAAAAATTTATTTGTTTAAGCAACTTCACATATATAAATTCACAAAGAATCTTAAACATTAACATTGTTAACATTTCATGCAACATACGAAACATCATATATGCAACATATGAATGCTTTACTTGAAACATAAAATACACTTATGTTACAATGCTCGATGATTATGCATGATGATGCTCATGATCAAGTTTTTATTAAGTTCATAACACCTATGGTGTTACAGAAAACACGATTATGCCCATCACTTTTTACCTATCCACATGTTAAAGAGGCAGGATATTATAGATATTTTAATTTAAAAGTTGCCCAATTCCAGCCTTTGGAATCTATGCTTCCAAACATCCCCAAACTCAGATTTTGCAATCTAGCTTGCACATGCTAGTTTCCACAATCTAGAACAATCCAAACGTGGCCTTAGTTGTTGCTAGTGTGAGTATTCCGAGCGCAGCCATGTTCTCTCTTGGCACCGGAGTCAAAACTTGTAAACACTCAAATTAATATTCCTGTTTAGTTTTGCATTGTATTTATACCTAAAATCTAAAAAAATGTGTATCGCAAGGAAGCATGAGAAGATTACACATGGCATAGGGCCTTCAAATATGGAGGACCTATTTATCTCCTCACGTGACATATATCTTGTTAAGGACATGTTTGGATCACCTAGAACTAAAGTTTAGGCGGACTAAAGTTTAGTTGGAAAACAGTTTGGGTGGCTAAAGTTTAGTTCAGTGTTGTTTGGATAAATAGACTAAAAATAAACTAAAAGCGAGTAAATTCCCAAGATATTTGGCCCTGTTTGGTATAGCTTATTTGGGAAGCGTTTTCCAGATAAGCTGCATAAATAGAGTAAAAGCAGTGGTCAAAATAAGCTAGTCTGATCTAGCTTCTGCTTTTTAGTACAAATGGGAATTGTGGGAATAAGCGTGCCCAGAATAAGCTGCTGAAAAGCGTGGCGTTTAGCTATTGATTTTAGCTTATTTTGACCATAAGCAGCTTATAAGCTGTACCAAACAGGCCTAAAGACTCATGTGCATCTTTTAGTCCATATTAGTTCACCTTTGCCAACTAACGAACTAACTTGTAGTTAGGTTAAAACCTAAAAATTAGTTCACCTATTTGGATACTAGGACTGAAGTTGAGACTAAAGTTTAGTCCATATTATCAAAATGGGCCATATGTCTATCTATTATCTTATCTTATTACAATAGCTTCGTGTCATTTGCATCATAATTGTTCTCTTAACATCTTTCATCCATGAATGCTTTGATATATGGTGAGCTCATTCACTTTATCTTAACTACGTGCAAATTGGCACCCTAAAGGCCACTCGTTTTAAGTCCATTCAAATGCACCTATTGAGAGGGACTTCCATATGTTAATGGATTTGAAATCCTTATTTCAATAAAATTTATTGTGAACATTAGTTTTGTCACCAACCATCATAAAAAATGTGAAGATTGAAAATGCATCTCGACTCTCTAAGTGGGTTATGGCAAATTTTAATGACATGACGTTGAGGAAATAATGAGTTTAGCAAGTGATGAGTAGATACTAAAATATAAGATGAATTAAATGCATAGGAGGTCCATTAACTTATGTCAGGATTTTAGTTAGGTCCACCAACTCTGAAATTGAATATTTGAGTTTATAAACTTTTAAGTTGTGCCATCTAAGGAACCGGATAGAATGGCTGAATAGACAGTAGCCACTAAATCAAAGGCACTAGGCAAATTTGATTAGTAACACAAGCAATCCTAATAAGCTACTTCCTAACTAGTGGGGTTTGCAACCTAGGCTATAGTTCACTACATGCAACAACTCTCATAAATTTATGCATCAAAACACTATGGATGCAATAATGTTGCCTTAGGTGATGCATCAAAACAATCATGAATGTTGGTTCTATGGCTAAAGGACACTAAAATGTTGGTGTCAAAATATTTGTATTAATTGGCTCAATTCTTGTGTACGAATGTTTGGTTAATGGCTTGCTTGATAAATGAAATGTTCTATCTAAAATTCATCGTGTTGTACTCAGGTAATTCACAATGGCCATTAACCACCGTCAAGGAGCTTGACTAGGCTACCATGGCGAAGGGTAAGGAGGCACCTACTCCTTGGTGACGACTGCTCCTTGTCCCCTGTGATGTTGTGTGGAGGTATTGTGTGGCTAGGGATTTGATGGAGTTGTTGGTCCTAGTTTCGTGTTAGGACGAGCTGCGCAAATTTGCGCCTGACACTACCGGATACAGGAGCTTTGCCGAGTGCCAATGGCACTCGGCAAAGCCCCCAAAACACTCGGCAAACGACACTTGACAAAGGTTTTGACGGCAAAGAGCTGTTTGCCGAGTGTCAAACGTCAGGCACTAGTCAAAGACTATGCCGAGTCCCCAAAAACCACTCGGCAAACATTTTTTGGAAAAAAAACACAAGTCGCCCGCCACCACCACCACCACCACCACACCACCACGCCCCGCCGCCGGCCACCACCACACCGCCCGCCGATCCGCCGCCTCCACGCTGCTGCTCCCCGCCGGATCCGCCCGCCGGTGCCACGGATCTGATCACCGGCGAGGGAGAGAGTGAGGGAGATGAAGAGATGAAAAGAGAGGGAGATGGGAGAGTTGACCTACCTCGGACCCACGCCGGCCGCCGCAACCCCATCGTCGGATCCGAGCCCCAGCAGCCGGATTCGACGCATGCCGCCGCCGCGAGGCCCACCCGCCGCGGATCCGCCGCCGTGGAGCTCCCCTTGGCCCTCCTCGCCGGATCCAATGCCAGCCGCCGTCGCGAGGACCACCCGCCACGAATCCATCGACCTAGAGCTCGCCTTGGCCCTCCACGCTGGTAGGGGAAGAAGGGAGGGGAGGGGCGCCCGCCGGGGAAGAAGAAGGGGAGGGGAGGGCGCGGATGGGCGGATCTGGGGAGGGAGGAGGTGAGGGAGGGCGCGGGCGGATCTGGGGAGGGAGGAGGAGAGAGAGGCGCAAGGCGTGGCGGGCCGGGAGATCCATGGGATGGAGGGAGAGAGAGAGGGGCGGGCGGATCTGGGAGGGAGGAGAGAGAGAGGCGTGGAGGAGGAGAGATGAGGGGAGGCGGATCTGGGAGGGAGGAGGGAGAGGAGAGAGGGCTTGGCGGGGCGCCGGAGATCCGCCGGGAGGGAGGAGGAGAGAGGGGGGCGGGCGGATCTAGGGAGGGAGGAGGAGACAGGGCGCGGGCGGATCCGGTTAATTAAGTAGTTTTTTTTTCTTTGCCGAGTGTCCTAGATCTGAGCACTCGGCAAATTTTTTTTATTTTTTTTTCTCCTTCTTTTCTAGAAAAAAGATTTTATTTCTTTGCCGAGTGCAAAAAAGAAAACACTCGGCAAACCCCCTCTTTGCCGAGTGTTTTTTTTTTACACTCGGCAAACCTCCTCTTTACCGAGTTTTTTTTTTGGCCGAGTGTTTTAGCGTAGCACTCGACAAAGAACTTGTTCGTCGAGTGTCCGAGGGAATACACTCGGCAAACCTAAAAACACTATGCAAATTTAACGTTTCCGGTAGTGTGAAAACGGGTGGTAAAATCCATGCCTCCCATGTACACACGCCACATCGATACTTTGTTTGGATCAAGACCTAATTGGTTGACCGGTAAGACTCGAACATTGATTAGAGGCTTAAATATGCATTTTGAGAGGACAACGATCAAGATGACACCGGGCATGCACTTTGCTCTTTTAAAAATGATAAAATGTAAGGTTGGCATTTCACTTAAAAGAGAAGATAAAATCCAATCTTACACTATGTCCTACCCTGCATGCATGCACATATCTTACACAGTATGCAACCATGATAAGAAGCTAGTTAATGCAGAAATTTTACTGAGTGCCAAACTGCAAATGCACTTTACCAAGAGATGTGCTTCGGTACTCCTGATTTAGAAAAAACTAAGATTATCCGAGACCAAAGCCAACGGCGAGCGTGAAAATCCGACCAACTGATTCGTTGTTCTGGTAAACTTGTTCACACAAGATGAAACTGGTGATCATTGCATTAGCCCGATGAACCAGTGAACCACGAACTAGTATCAGTTGCAGGGAGGGAGCGGCGTGCCGCACAGGCACTTGTTGTGCGCGTAGCAGTCGGCCCCGTGCATGGACATGAACCTTCCCGCCGGGACCTCGCCGCAGAGCTCGTTATAGCTGACGTTGAAGTGCTCCAGCTTCACGTCCATCAGCGACTTGGCCACTCTGCCCCTGACCCTGTTGTGGCCCAGGTCGAGGAACCTGAGATGGTGCGGGAACCTGACCTCCGTCAGGTCGAACTCGAGCTGGTTCCACGACAGGTCGATCTTTACCGCCGGCTTCGTGATGCCGAACAGGAACGACGAGGGGTCACCGGTGAGCTGGTTACGCGAGAGGTCGATGGCGTCGCCGTCGCCGTCGCCGTAGTCGCTGGGTATCTCCCCCGTGAGCCGGTTGTTGGACAGGATCAGGAACCTGGAGCCGCCGTGCAGCAGCCCCGGCGGGATGGCGCCGCTGATTATGTTGCCGCTGAGGTCCAGGTACCGGAGGCCAGGGAGCGCGGCCAGGGACGCCGGGATGGGCCCGGCGAGCTTGCTGTTGGCGATGACGAGCGTCCTCAGGCCGACGGCGCCGGCGAGGAGGCAGCCCGGGACAGGCCCGGAGATGGAGGTGCCGTTGATGTCCAGGTCCAGGAGGCGCGTGAGGTTGGCGAAGGAGGCCGGGACGGGGCCCGCTAGGCCCAGCACGGAGTCGACCTGGAGGATCTCGAGCGCGGCGAGGTCGCCGAGCGCCGGCGGGACTCGCGCCGAGACGTCGGGGAGGGAGTAGAGCGCCAGACCCGTGACGCGGCCCGCTACGTCGCAGAACACGGCGGGGTCCCACGCGCAGCAGTTGGTGGACGGCAATCACGAGGAGAGCCGGGCCGGGTCGCCCAGCTGCGCCTTGACCCGCAGCAGCGCGGCGCGGTCCACGGGGTCGCAGTCCGCGGCGGAGGAAGGGGCGGTGTAACAAGCCGAGAAGACAAGTAGTAGCAGGGAGAGCGACATGGAGGAGATCAGCGGTGTGCTCGACGACAATTGTCGTGATCGCCTTTGCTCTGGCCGCCATTGCACAATCTGTGGTGCGCTTCATATAGCACTGCAACTAAAGCGAAGGAGGCGCTGAGTAGGATCGGAGCAGCTCAGCTGTCTTGCATGGGGCGTGATTTCGCATCAGGATCGTACCGGCCGCTGAAAACTGCTCAAGCCGTGCATGGCTCCACAAAGATGCCTGAGCACGCTCCTCAGGTACAGGTCGGTTATTTCGCCGAACATCTCGATCAGGATCAGTTGCAGGGTACGTACACAGACAGTTGAAAAACTTCTACGCGTTCTGTTGCAGGGTACTGAATCAAATGATTATCGAAGCTAGCCGGCACCGGCCAGTCGGCCACCGGGTACGAGTAGCATGGGTGAGATCATGGCCATCGGATTCATTTCAGCGGCCCAGACCGCATAAGAAAAGGCAGCCCCAGGCCAGATTGTTGGGCTCGAAGGCCGGGCGGGTGCACAGTGTTGAAGGGAAAGCCCAAATCAGGCTCATCTCGGGAGATTGTCTCAGTCCACAACAAAAATAAGCTTCAGCTTTTAATTTAAGTTCTGATGACCAGCACAATTTTGGATTGGAACTAACAAAACAGCCTAATAAAGTTTAAGTTTGGGCTTAATAATTAATACTAGTTCAGTGGTTTTTTATTCAACTTTAAAATTAGGGAACTTATTAAGTATTATTTTCTAGTAATTACACATTATTTCCCACCATAAGGGTACTTTGATAAATTGGAACAGTGGTAAAGTTAGTTGGAGAATTATAAGAATAGTGTAGAGCTTACCAAGATTTCAAGAGCACGAGCCAAGGACCCTAGGTTAGAGTAGACGACTTATTGGTGAAGCTTCTTCTTCCTCCTCTTTCCTCTTTGTCGATGGGGAACCCTACGGGCCCCCCATAGACCATACTGCAGGGAGGTAGGCCCTAGTAACAAGGCCTACAGCCCAATCGCCAAGAAGAACACGGAGCAAAGCAACGTGTAAAATCAAAACTCCAACGCAAACTATACAAGAAAAGGCGTCCGAAAGCGTAGCTTAGGACTCTGACCTTGTATCCGAATAGGACACAAACAACGCCTCTCAGCGCCTGGACTATAAAGGGCTGGTGAGGGTACCCATTGTAAGGGGAGAACGCATACCCGATACTTAAAGCAATACAACGCAAATAGGCTAACGCCAAAACTGGATGTAAGGTTATTACTCGACCAAGTCGAGGGCCTGAACCAGTATAAATCATGAGTCTCTTTGCGTAACCGCCGAATTCCGCTATTCGCCGAAGCCCGAACAACTATCCCGGGTACCACCGTGGCAGGCTATCGGTGGTAAAACATCGACAGCTGGTGCGCCAGGTAGGAGCTTTCGACGAATTTTTTCTCGAGAGTTCGGCGGACCTCAACCTCAAGATGACCTTTTCGGCGGGAACAACCTTTATCTTCGGATCCTAGATCTGTAAGGCTGAGGGCGACGGCAAGCTTCGTACCCGTCTCCAAGAAGAAAAAGAATTCGATGAAGAAGTTCAATACAAACTCGCTGAGAAGATGACGAAACTCTCAACTTCGGATACAACTCGGAATAAGGAAGAAAGCGGATACGAAACCGACTCTAAAAAAGAGATACAACCCGATCCCAAGACAATCTTCACGACACAAGAGCCAAGCCTAATTGGACTTGGAGACACAACAACGATCGCGAAGGGATACGACCCGTACAACTCAAAGAAGAACTTGGGAACTTACGGACTGCGCAACGCGGCATCAGTCTATCAACACTTTACCCAAAACAAGATGAACTCAGCAAGAAGAATACTCCTGGAGGGAGCACAAGAAGGGATGATCATGACAGTGACCCCACAAGATTGTGTGGTGCATTGGCCAGGTTCTTTCACCTCAAGCAAAGCCCAGACTGGCACGCGCGTTGAAGAACTACCTTATCAAGAGGGAAAAGAACTCGGATCCAGTTTAGAAGCTACAGACAGCTAAACCAAACGAAGGATGGAATACCGTACAAGAAGAGCTCAAAAGAGGTATACTGTATACATGGTAGAGCAGTTAGAACAACCTTTGGAACCACCGTAGATACCAAATATAAAATCTTTAGACGAATCAGAAGGCAATATCTCGCCAGATGAGAAAAGCGACAGCAACGAAAATGATGAGCAAAGACTAGCAAGGCTAAATAAGAACATATTGAAAGCTGGAAGGAGGAACCGGGCTAAACAAAGGAAGCAAGTCTGGAAGAAATACAAAGCGGAGCTAACGGAATACAACAGAAAGAAGGCGGAAAAAGAAGCCACAAAAAATACAAAAAGGGAAAGAATTGAAGAATTAACAAAGAAGTTGTACACCCTCACGAATAACGGGAAAGTAAAGGAAGACCAGAAGAAAGAAGTCGGGGGATCAGAAAAACAACCCGGCGAAGAAATTCCACAGGAGCCACAAAGGGAGCAGCCACCCAAAAAATCGAATTTTCAAAGGATAGGACCAATAGAAAGTGCTGATATCAATGGAAGGAAGGAACACTACTCAAAGCAATAAGAAAGAGACAAATCAGAAGTGAGGCAACGCTACCAAGAAATATCAAGAAGATTTGACAAAGAAGATGACTACGGAGAGTCTGAGTTAAAAGAACACATGTCTTATTACAGAAGGGCAAGATCGCCAGATTATGGAAGAACGGAACCATACGACAGATTCCCTTGTTTCGTAGGAAGACTACAAACTTTAAAGCTACCGCACAAGTTTAAACCAGCAAATCATTCCAAGTATGATGGCAAAGTTGAACCAAGACAATGGCTAAGGATTTACTCCCAATCTATTGAATTAGTTGGAGGAGACGACGACATCAAGGCTCTATTCTTCCCAATGGCCCTCGAAGCAATGCCGCTACAATGGTTTGACAAATTAAGGCCAAGATCAATCAGGTATTGGGAAGACTTGCAAGAAGCTTTCTGTAACAACTTCGCAGGCATTATTACCCATCCAATGATTGCAGCTGAATTGAAAGGAGTAAAGCAAAGAAGAGGAGAAAGTCTAAGGGAATACTATAGGAGATTTGGAGAATTCAGGGCTCAAGTCCACGACATTACTGATAGGGAGGTGATAGAGGCCTTTGCAGAAGAAATCTGGGCAAACTGGCAATACAAGGACTATTTCAATGAGAACCCAAGAACAAATGAAGACTTCAAGAGGGTTGTTGAGAAGCTAATTTCGTCAGAAGAAAGAACTCGGCATAGATTTGCTAGGGACAACCCAGAGAATAGAAGACCCGATTACAAACAGCAAGACAAAAGACCAAGGCAGGACAATATGGTGGCAACCACAGACAACAAAAGAAGATACAATGGCAACGACAATGATAGCAATGGTCGCAATCATAATGGCAACTACAACAATAGCAACAACCGTAACAACAGCGGTTACAACAGTAATAGCAACTATCAGAGTAACAACTACCGAGGAAGAGTGCCGGAAAACATAGAAAACATGTCGTGTCACATACACCCAGGGGCCAGACACAAGTTAGTTGAATGCAGCACTTTTAGCGGCAATTCATGAAGAGAAAAAATAGGAATCAAAACAACTCGGAGTCAAAGCAAGAAGAATCCAAGAAGAAGGAAAAAAGAGCTGAAGGAGATTATCAAGAACCCCAACGCCAATTAGCGATGATATTTTCAGGTGTTCCTAACACACGAAGAAAAAGACAAGAGAAACTAGCTCACAGAGCCATCATGGCAGCTGAACCAGCCATCCCAAGATATCTAGATTGGTCAGAGTACCTCATCCACTTCACAAGAGAAGACCAATGGACCAATGCAGCAAACGTAGGATGCTACCCGCCGGTACTGGGTCCGACTATCGTAGGAGTAGCAGTAACTAAAGTACTCATCGATGGAGGAGCCGGGCTTAACATAATTTTCGCAGATACTCTCAAAAGGATGAATCTGGATTGTGAAGGTCTAATGACACCCACAAGCACACCATTCTACGGAATAGTACCCGGCAGAGCAGCTATGCCCCTCGGACAGATAACCCTACCTGTCACCTTTAGCACACCAGACAAATACCGGACGGAATTCATCAAATTCGAAGTTGCAGACTTTAAATCATGCTACCACGCAATACTTGGGAGACCAGCTTTAACAAAATACATGGCAGTACCACATTATCCATACCTACTACTCAAGATTCCAACAACAAATGGCGTATTATCATTGAAAGGAGATCTAAAGAAATCACATGATTGCGACGTACAAGCAGTACAAATATCCGAAAGATTACAAGATATAAAGGAAGGAAAGGAGATTGCAATGTTGGCCAACGAAATGAACCCAGATGAGATTAAGATACCGGCTAAGAAGCCAAGCAACTTCGCACCACCAAAAGAAGCCGCTACCAAGACTATTAACCTACTGACTGGTGATCCGGAGAAGACAGCAATCATCAGTGCAAATCTCGACCCTAAATAGGAACTCACGCTCACCAACTTTCTTCAGGACAACAAAGATATTTTTGCTTGGAAGCCAGCAGACATGCCAGGGGTCCCAAGGGAGTTGGCTGAGCACATAATTGATGTGAACAAAGGGTCCAAACCCGTTAAGCAGAAGTTACGAAGATTCGCTCTAGACAGAAAAACAGCAATCAAAAAAGAGATCACCAAGCTCATGGCAGCAGGATTCATCAGAGAAATAATCAACTCGGATTGGCTTGCCAACCCGGTCCTAGTAGAGAAGAAGAATTCAAAAGAATAGCGCATGTGCATCGACTACACAGACCTCAACAAACATTGCTCAAAAGATTCATATGTCCCACCAAGGATTGATCAAATCATCGACTCGACAGCAGGATCAGCTCTGTTATCCTTTCTAGATTGCTATTCAGGCTATCATCAAATATCCTTAAGAGAAGAAGACCAAAGCAAGACTTCGTTCATTACACCATTTGGGGCATATTGCTATAAATCAATGCCTTTTGGGCTAAAAAATGCAGGGGCAACATATCAAAGAGCAATTCAAACTTGCTTGGG